CACGTTTGGCCACAAGTTCATAATGGTTCGTGCTGGAGGCTGCCTGATGGTTTATTAGACTAGTGTTCATATTTATATAAGTTTGGACTTTTCCATAATGAAAAATTAAAAAAAAAAAAACTTTGACTCCAGGATCTCACTCCTAGGAATCTATTCCTTGGAAATAAAAGCATCAGTTAATAAAGATCTGTGTATAAGAGTGTTTACTAAAATGGTTTCGTAGAGACAAAAAAACCCTGGAAATAAATCGATTGCCTACCACTATAGGATTGCTTGTATAAATCACATCCACCCACAGCATGGGATAGTATATTATCTTTTTAAAGAATAAACTAGAGTTTTTACAGTCCACTTGGAGAATTTTCCATGAGATGTTTTCAAGTGAGAAAAGCAAGATGTAGAAAAGTCTATACATGGCAATCCCATTTTTAGAGAACAGTGGCAAAATTAATCCCTTTGGTATATAGGTACTTGTGTGCATCTGTGTGCACGTGTGTGTGTATGTGTGTGTGTGTGTGTGTGTGTGTGTATAGGATACATAAGAGGCTGTTAACATGAATTAGGGGTAGAATGACATTTGTAGAAAGGAAGTGAACAATACAGGAAAAAACCTGCACTTAAGAAAACAGCCTGCATGGTATGGTCCTGTTTCTGTGTTTGTGCAAATGATATTCATATGTATATGTGATTTGCTAAATGGAAAGGGAGTTACGACTTTTAAAACATCTGGAAAGGAGGGTGTACTTTTAGTGACCTAGGATGTGATGAAGGAAGTAAAAGAGAATTTGCTTAGAAGTTAGAAAATGCCCAAGAGACTCAGTGGTCACTGCTGGCCCTGGCCAGCCAGGGAAGGCTCAGTGGAAGGTTTAGAGAGGCGACAGGGGCAGCTGGATGGTCTCAGGCCATAGTTGCTCCCTGATCTCTGTGCTTCTTCCTCCTGCTCCAGGAGAAATAATGTTTCCCTGAGGGATGAAAAGCGTCTCTGTGCGGGCTTTAATTGCCATGTTGTTGTGCCAAGGGAGTGAGTGGCAGGCGGGCGCAGCAGCTGGGCACAGCCAATGCCAGGCAGTGAAGCCTGCTCCCTTAGAACAGCCCAGCCAGCTGGCCTGGGAGTGCTGCCCACCTCTGCCCCCAGCTGGGTGCCCACAGAGGAACAGGCCGTCCAAGGGGCAGGGGGCTCAGCAGAGGATCATTGGAGGAGGAGAAGGGGGTGGGTGTCCAGGAGGGTCTCAGCTACTCTCAGAGACTTATTCATCTCCCCCTCTTGTCCCCTCCCCCTCCCTCTTGTTTTGCAGACTGTCAGCATCAATAAGGCCATTAATACGCAGGAAGTGGCTGTGAAGGAAAAACATGCCAGAAATATCCTTTTGGATGTTGCTTGGAAGACTGGCCCTGAAGGGGGGTCGGATCGTGGAGACTGAGGTCAGGGCAAGGCTCCCTTGCTCAGCTGGAGGAAGGGGCACCCCCATGCAAGCCAGGACCCACAGGTCTGAGCAGCTTCCATGGACAGCAACAGGCTCTCAGGGAGCACTGGCTGCAGAAACCACAGACTCAGGGTAGCAGGGACCAAAGAGGCCATCGACCCCATTCCTTTCAACCTGCCAAAGATCCTGCTCCTCTCCTGGAGGATATAAGCTTTTCCAAACCTTGAAGTCATTTGAAAGTCACTTTCACCTGGGTTATATCAAAGCCATTTAGTTCCCAGGGCCACGGTGACCACTCTCCTGAGGACACGATCCTCTCCTTTTGTGAGCTTGAATTGTGGCAAAAAAAAAAGTCTCAGCTTTAGTGATTGATTGGCCTTAAGCCAGGGTAGAGGCGGGGGCTCTTGGTTTAGAGTCCCAGAGCAGAAAAGCTTATTCCCCAAAGGCTAGAGAACAGAGGCTAGGGGTGGGGGGATGCCTTTATCTCTGTGTGCTAGGAAAGCAGGGTGGAGTTCCAGGCATATGGAGGTTAGGCCTTCATCTGAGATAAGCTCCTGTTTGCCCAGGCTATTGGGTGCTGTGCCACAATGATTCATGTTGGAACGTGTCCTGAAAGCCACCCAGCCTCAGTTTCTGGAGGAGACTCCTCAAGGGAGAAGGCCAGGGAATCCCAGCATCACCTAGCAGGTGTATGAACTGCTTTTTGCTGGCCTGAAAACAGCTTGCCTTTAGTTATAGGGTGCTTTGGCTGGAATTAGGGATCTACTTATAGGGTGGCAGATAAAGGATTTCCTGGGGTAACCCTGAAACCTGGCCTGACATCAGGCCTAGCTGGGTCTCACTCTTTTTGCTCCAGAAAGGCACAGTCGCCTTGCTTTACTGCATCACATTTGCTATCCTTGCCATAATAAAAACCAAACCAGGAAAGACTTTAAGTGGCCCAAATGATTTTCTCAGAAACTCAGTTCTGAACCCTACTTGTTGAGAATTTGTGATCAGTCTGATGTGAGATATGAAGAAACAGAGAAACAGTTGTGCAGAGGCAGAACAGTGTCATGTGCTGCAAAGGAGCCTACCTAGCGGTAAAGAAAGGGACTGTGGAAGGAGTTTCTAAAATCCCACCTCTGGAGCTCTGGGGCTCACTCTGGAGACTTTGAGTGGGGCCTTCCTGAGCCTTAGGTCACTATTCTGTTAAATGGAAGGCTTGGCCAAAGAAGATTTCAAAGACCGAATATTCCAACTCTGTCATTCTTTGAGTCTCTCTGATTCATGATTTCTAAATGGTAGACTCCATACAGTAGGGTTTTAAATCCTAAAAATAGCACAAAACATTTTATCAGTTCTTTTATCAGCTCTCCTAGATACCAACTGAATAAGTACAGTAGAACTTCTATATGTTGACCACCCGAGGGACTGTAAAAAACTGTAATGAACGTAAGGAGGTAGTCAACATAAGGAACTTCCATTGAGTACATGTGGTGCCTGTCTAGTTTATGAAAATTAGGTCAACTTAAGGAGATGGTCAGTGCAGGGAGGTGGTCAACTCTGAAGGTTCTACTATATTAGTAAGTATGACTTTGGAAGTATTGTTCAGACACTCATTTATTATAGATGCCTAATTAACAAACACATTAATCGCTACCTTGATATCTGCTCCTGGAGAGCCAGGGACTAAGTCTTATTTTCATTTCTTATTTTCTCATTTTTCCTTTCTGAGTGCCTTTTAGAATGCTTGAAGTACAATTGGTGGCATAAAAATCCTTATAAAGTCAAAGAGACAGAAAGACCTCCTTTTCTCTTTGAAAGTCAAGGTGCCTGGCTGGCTCTCTCCATGATCTGAGTGAGCACACTCAGCCGTGAGAAGTCGGTACAGGGAGGCTCGGCCTGCCCTACTCTCACTGCTTCCTACAAGTCTAAGGGGGCTGTGCTTTAGGTAGAACCACAAGTTATTTTAGAAATCCTCCCAGCCTGAAAGCTGACTTCAGCTTCCAGACCCAAAGTCCATGCATGCCTACCTAAAATGAAAATTTCCTGGCTCGGCGCCTATAGCTCAACCGGCTAAGGCGCCAGCCACGTACACCTAAGGTGGCAGGTTCGAATCCCCAGCCCG